AAAATTAATAAAAATTAATAAAAATTAATAAAAATTAATAAAACTTAATAAAAATTAATAAAACTTAATAAAAATTAATAAAACTTAAAAAAAAAATGAATAAATATGAATAAATATAAAAAAAAAATGAATGAAAATCAATAAAACTAATAAAAATTAATAAAAAAGGAAGTTGTGTATTTTTTTATATTAATAACACGACTATATGCGAGCAAAGTCGCAAGCAAAGTCGCGAGCAAAGCCGCGGGCAATAGCTAGTTTCATATATACTGAAAGGAAAATATTCGGGGTGTGAAGTTTTCGGTGTGTCACCCTGTCTATAGACACCTCTTGGCCCGCCTCATTAACCTGCAGGACTTTTATGAGCTAAAAGGCAGTCTTTAGACATTTATAAACGACCCTGTCAACTAGCAGATTAGTCGAGAGGTCGCTCCTACAAGCCAATGAAGGATGTCCTATGGGCCTAAGTGACTTGGGACATCCTGCCTTCCTCATCTTTCAAATCAGATGATGTTAAACTTTATTTGATTTCATCTTGTATGTTGTTTTAAGATATTTCATGTTTTATCAGTATTTTTTTTTTTGTAGAATTCAAATTGATAACGATCTTTTTATATTTATAAAAATGGTAGTCACCTATGTCGAATTTTTGTATTATTTGATAAGATCGACTCTATTTTAAATATAATATTGTAGTTTTACATTATTGGCAATCAATATCTGACGAAGATTAGATTACTGTTCGCTAGCAGACTCGTTAATATTGTGGCAGTTGTGTTTGGTTAATTTTCCAATATGAGAATAATTATTATTGTTTGTTAAACTGTTTTGACTTTTGACCAAATCAGTTTGCCAGTGAATGTAACTTCAACATGTTTAAAAGTGTTTAGTTGAAAAGTGATAGCAGTTTGTTGATGTGTTACGTAGTGCCGTTATTAATTATAATAAAAATAATATAAAGGTAGTGTCAGATACAACTTTTTGCTGTGGGATTATAGGACATTATATAACTGATAATAGATAAAAATTACCAATAAATACAAAATAATACAAGGAATATTATATAAATATTAATAAATTGGTTACTGCATAAGCCTAAGATAGATAAACTTATTTTAAAACATATTGTTTACATTAGTAGGTGTATATAAAATGCTTAAGTAGCGCTTAATATAAAAAGATTAAATATATAGGTGCTTAAATCTAAAAGATGTTGGTAATTTATGGAAATTGCAGTTGTTGTTTCTACTGTTTTATCGTGATATAAATTATTGTTCATCAGTTAATATAAATTATATTGTTCCATCAACTTTTAGAAACTGGCTGGTTTAACCTTAAACTGCTCCAGAAGTTATATAATTCTTGACAAGAAAACTTCGTGACAGGTTGAAGCTATTGTTTTTTTTTTTTTTTAATTTTCCTCTTTTTATCTGGAAGATGAATTGTTCAATTTTTCGTCTTTCCAAACAACAAAAGTTTAGTTGTGTCTGTCACTACTTTTAGTGTTGCTGTGTTATTAACTTCAGGGTCGTCTAAAGGACATGGCATCTGCTTCGGATATCAAATTAAATACTCAAAAAATTGCTCATAGTAATTTATTATGGATGGCCAAAAATATATACCATTTATTTATTTTTAAAATCTTTAAATAAGAAGTAAATCTAAATACTTTTTCTCAATAATTTGGTGATTAATATTAACAAACAAAAAAAAATTAAAGCACATATAAATAGGAGCACAATCTGTCTATAGTAAGAACCCTGAAGAGTCGATCATGTGGCCTGGAGATATTTTCGTGAAGCAAAAAACGAAAAAGGCGTTAAAGAAGTCTAGGTGTGTAGTATTTTGAACTGCTTATGTGCATTCTCAGAATTTATTATCCCGTTTGCTTTTTAGAAGTCTAGAAATAACTGTAATTGAGATATATGAAAGCTTTTACCTAACTCCACTGGCTTCCGTTAAGTGGATTAGGAATTCTTAAAAATACATAACGATGGGTCCATTATTCAAGAATAAATTAGATAACATACTTAGATAATAAATTTAAATTTCAGACATAATTATTCTGTCATAGTTCATTTGTGTTCCTTATTTTTGATAATATAATTTATGAAGTAAGATGAAAACGAATAAATGTAACTCAATTCAATGTGTCTCATTGAAATTTATTTAAATTATGTTAAGCACTTTTGGCTTCATAAAGCCATCATCATATCCTTAGAACTAGAGTATAACTAGAATAGAACTGGAATAAAACTAGAATTGATCTAGGATTGATATTGATATAAATCTGATATGGAAGTGATATAGAATTGATCTAGAATTGTTGATATAAATCTGATATGGAATTGATATAGAATTGTTATAAAATTGTTATAGAATTGATATTGATATAAATATGATATGGAGTTGATATAGAATTGAATTTATATAGAATTTATATATAATTGATGTAAAATTGATATAGATTTGATATAGACTTGATAAAGAATTGATCTAGAATACAACCAAAATAAAATTAAAATAAATTCGACATCGAACAGAATTGAACTAGAATTAACATAGAATTGATATAAATCTGATATAGAATTGAATTTTATAGAATTTAATTTATTTAAAATTTATATAGAATTCTAGAATTGATCTAGAATACAATAGAAATAAATTCAATTAGTTTTTAGTGAAACTATTTTTAATAATTAAATTTATTCAAATTATGTTAATTACTTTTGGCTTTACAAAGGCATTATCATATCCTTAGAACTAGAATAGAACTGGAATAGAACTAGAATTGAACTAGAATTGATTTGATATAGATCTTATATTGAATTGAATTTATATAGAATTGATCTAGAATACAATCGAAATATAATAGAATAAAATTGAGATCAAACAGAATAGAACTAGAGTAAAACTAGAATAGAACTAAAATAAAACTAGAATAGAATTTGAATTGATATAGAATTGATAATAATATATCTCCCTAATTCACCCTCTTACGAGTGAATTTTAACCCCAAAAGCTGAGCTTGTTTGGGGAAAGGGACGGCTATTATTATTATTATTATTATTATTATTATTATTATTATTATTATTATTTGATATAGATCTGATAAAGAATTGATCTAGAATACAACGGAAATGGAATAGAAATAAATTTGAGATAGAATAGAACTAGAATTGTTATTATAGAATTGTTATAGAAATATTATGGAATTGATATAGATCTGATATAGAATTAAATTTATATAGAATTTAATTTATTTAAAATTTATATAGAATTGATCTAGAATTCAACCGAAATAGAAGAAATAAATTTAATTATTAGTTTTTAATGAAACTATTTTAAATAATTAATGAAATTTATTCAAATTATGTTAATTACTTTTGGCTTTACAAAGCCATTATCATATTTTTAGAACTAGAATAGAACTAGAATTGATTTGATATAGAATTGATATAGAATTGATATTGATCTGATATAGAATTGATCTAGAATACAATCGAAATATAATAGAAAACAGATTGAGATCAAACAGAATAGAACTAGAATAGAACTAGAATAGAACTAGAATAGAACTAGAATAGAACTAGAATAGAACTAGAATAGAACTAGAATAGAACTAGAATAGAACTAGAATAGAACTAGAATAGAACTAGAATAGAACTAGAATAGAACTAGAATAGAACTAAAATAATAATACTCTCCCTAATTCACCCCCTTACGAAGTGAATTTTAACCCTAAAAGCTGAGCTTGTGCGGGGAAAGGGACGGCTATTATTATTATTTGCCGTGGCGCTCCGGGGCGACTTAAAGATAATTGATGGTGCCATTTGACTTACAGGTGAGGAAAACCTCACCCACCATCATCGAGACGGTAATGCATGACGATTTTATAATCTGCATGTGATATCAACAGAAATTGAATTTCTATTGATACGGCACACATCAAATCCTATACCGAACCATGCAATTAAATTAAAAATCCACATGGTCTGGTCTGGGATTCGAAGCCCGGCAGTCTCGGACCATAAACTTGCCTATAAATGAATATAAGCGCGTTAGACTGCTACACCACCGACCCGAATAAAACTAGAATATAACTAGAATAAAACTAAAATTGATAATAATATAATCCTCTCCCTAATTCACCCCCTTACGAGTGAATTTTAACACCAAAACCTGAGCCTGTCCAGGGAAAGGGACGACTATTATTGTTATTATTATTATTTGATATAGAATTGAATTTATATAGAATTGATCTAGAATGCAACGGAAATGGAATAGAAATAAATTTGAGATCAAACAGAATAGAACTAGAATTGATATAGATTTGATATAAAATTGATGATATAGAATTGATATAAAATTGATATAGAATACAACCGAAATAGAATAGAAAACAATTTGAGATCAAACAGAATTGAATTTATATAGAATTGATCTAGAATACAACCGAAATAAATTTGAAATCGAGTAGAATAGAACTAGAATTGTTATTGTTATAGAATTGATATATCTGATATAGAATTGATATAGATCTGATATAAAATTGATGATAAATAATTAATATAGAATTGATGATATAAAATTGATCTAGAACACAGCCGAAATAGAATAAAAAAAATTGAGATCAAACAGAATAAAACTTGAATTGATATAGAAATAAATTTGAGATTGAGCAGAATAGAACTAGAATTGTTATTATTATAGATTTGATATAGATCTGATATAAAATTGATATAGAATTGATGATAAAGAATTAATATAGAATTGATCTAGAATACAACCGAAATAAAATAAAAATAAATTCGAGATCGAAATCACGGCAGGCGGTTTTCTGTCGTCAAGTTCAAACAAACTGTCAATTAGTTTTTAGTGAAACTATTTTAAATAAGTAATGAGAAACAGTAAATTTGGTTCGGATGTTGACATCTTTCATTACTGTATTTTTTATTTTTATATTTTATTTAACATTTGCTTTCTTTTTATTTTTGCAG